ATTCTTCGTGATAGGAAGAAAAAGAAGATTTGGTTATCTCACGAGACTTATATTGAAAATGTTCTTGAAAGATTCAACATGAGTAAAGCCAAAGCAGTTTGTTCCCCACTTGCAGGTCATTTTAAGCTGAGTTCGAAACAATGTCCTACAAGTGAGAAAGAAAAAGAAGAAATGTCTAGAGTGTCTTACTCATCTATAGTAGGCAGTTTGATGTATGCTATGGTTTGTACTAGGCTAGATATAGCTCATGCAGTTGGAGTTGTTAGTCGATTTCTCTCAAATCCTGGAAAGGAACATTGGGCAGCAGTGAAATGGATATTAAGATATCTAAGAGGTACTTCCAGGTTGTGTTTATGTTTTGGTAGTGATGAACCTGTGTTAGAATGTTACACAGATGTAGACATGGCAGGTGATACTGATTCCAGGAAGTCCACTTCGGGATTTTTGATGACATTTGCAGAGGGAGCAGTCTCTTGGCAGTCTAAGTTACAGAAGTGTGTTGCTCTATCAACCACAGAAGCAGAATACATAACAGTTACTGAAGCCTGTAAGGAAACTTTATGGATGAAAAAGTTTCTATAGGAATTGGGCTTGAAACAGGAAGTGTATACTGTTTACTGTGACAGTCAGAGCGTCATTCACCTCTCCAAGAATTCAACATACCATTCTAGATCCAAGCATATTGATGTGAGATATCACTGGATTCGTGATGTGCTTGAGTTGAAAGAATTATAGTTGGAAAAGGTGCATACCAATGAGAATGATTCAGATATGTTGACAAAGTATTTGCCTAAGGAGAAGCTTGAAGCATGTAGGCGAAGAGCGGGCTTGGTACAGCCCACCATATGAGCTGGAGGGGGAGAATTGTTGGGTTCAGCCCATATGTGGGCTTGGACAATTGGGCCTATTGAGCCCAAATCAGCAAATGAAAGAAATTAAAAAGAGGAGAGAGAAGGTGAGGAAAATAGATCAGAGATTGCAGCGTGCAACGTGCGGCGGCTTGCAGAGAAAAGAGGAGAGAGAAATAGAGAGAGAAAGTAAGGTTTTCTGAGTTTTCTGCTTGACGATCGGTGGTCAAATGTTGTCAGTTTTGGCCCAAATTTTATGTGGAGAATCCTTGCAGAAAACTCTATAATCCTAACGGTGTTGATCTATAGTTTAACTCTCTAGAGATCCACCTATGTGATGAAGATATGTTATTCTTGAGCCAAGATCTATGTTCTTGATGTTATTCTGATCCTCTAGTTATTCTAGAGAAGATATACTGTAAACCTGTTATCAGTATTATTGATAGTGAAAGTTTGAGATGGACTACGGTCCCGTAGTTTTTCCCACATTGAGTTTTCCACGTTAAAAGATTTGGTGTGATTGATTTTTTCTCTACTATTTATGCTGTGCTGGTTAATATTTTCATTTGAATACTAAGTTAGTATTTTGATGAGGAACCCATTTACACAAAGAGGGAAAAGAATATTCCGCTTTAACAGGTTTCTTCCCAACATTTCTCACATAAGCTGGATCAGACTTGTTGTAGAAGTGTGAT